AAATGGCCATGGGCACAATTATAAAGTTGTGGTGACAGTACATGGAGACACCGATCCTGTTACAGGAATCGTTATGAATTTGACCAACCTCAAAGAGTATATGGAGGCGGCAATTATGAAGGCCTTTGATCATAAGAATCTGGATCTGGATGGGCCATACTTTGCAGCTATTGTAAGCATGACAAAAATATGTAGCTTTATGTATCTGGGAAAACCTCCAGAAATTTCTTCCTCCAGGCGTTCTTTATAAAGTAAAAGCATACGAAACTGACAATAATATTGTCATCTATAAAGGAGAGTAGCTTTTAGGGGTTAATACTGTAGTAAGAGTAATTTCTTTCCATATTTGAAAAGGTCTTTTTTTAAAAAAAAAATTTGTTTTAGAAAAAGAGAGTGTATGTGCACGAGCGGGGAGCCTCACATGGGGATTGATCTCAGGACCCTGAGATTATGACCTGAGCTGAAACCAAGAGTCAGACGCTTGACCAACTGAGCCACCCAGGTGCCCCTTGAAAAAGGTCTTTATCTCCTTGAACTATGAAGAAGTCATCATGTAACTTATACCTCCACATTGTATTCTGGAGTGCCTGATGGATTGAAATCATTGTATGTAAGACCTGCTGTGAATTCAAATCTATTTTAAAACCAAACTCGTAAAAAACCTGAGTATCATTTAGAGTTTCTAATGTACAGATTAAAAATCACTTCATTTTCAGTAAAATGTTGTGGTATGGAATTTAAAGGCAAAATAAATCAATTTTTGTCTTTCCGTTCTCTCGTTTTTGGTATTCACATTTTTCTTGGTATCATATGAAAAGCAAAGATGTTTATAAGACTTACAGTATGTGAAACTTAAAAAATTATATATATATATGGGTGATCACACAGTCCGGAGACACAGACAACATACACTTCTTCCTTGATTACATGTCAAGTATTCTAAGGGCACAAGTTCATTCAGTGAAAAAGGAGACACACAAATCACCTTAGGCAATGCACTGTAGATGGAGGGGAACTGATGGAAATACCCCTTCAGTGCACATTGTTCAGTGAACTTTTGCACAAGCTTGTTGAACTATGAATTTCTAGCGAGGAACACCACAATCACTGAACATTTGTCGGAGTATCAGTAAACTATTATATTTGTCTATGTTTCCAGACCTTATGACCACCTGTACAATTCAGAAAACTGAATCATATGTATCAAATCCTATGACAATAATCAACATGAAAAGGATGTATTATACTGTAAAACATCTCATACAGGTTTTCCTAATCAATCCCATTTTGTTCTGATTATAAACTTACCTGCTTCAGTTAACTATAAAAAAAATAAAATAGAAACAGATTCCCTAAGTATTTCTTCTTTTTAGGATGTTCATGCTGAATAAGGACAGACATGCACACATGCCTAGCTTAAACACTGACAGCTATTATAATGAAATCTTTAACAAATTATCACACTATCTCTGTGGAAAACAGACTACTAGCTTTTCATCTAAATCGGATTTGAGGAACAATCTTAGACTTTGTAAAGCCCAATATTAACCCAATTTGTCTTTAGATAAAACTCTTTTTGTGTCACTTAACACTTTTCTGAAGTTAGACTATCAAACAGGACAACATAGAGAAGAATGAGGAAATCTACCTCAGAGGTAGAATTAAAAAACACTTAGACCTTTTAATGTCAGGAAAGCACAGGTGAATGAATTAGACGGTAAAAGGAAGAAAAAAGTGAAAAGAAGTGTGACGTCTAGCAAAGTGGGGAGTCCTCATCTAATAACATGCACCTACAAATCATGAACAAGAAACTCATCTATACAATCAGAAAAAGCAGCCAATAAAGGAGCGTGAACTAAATCCTCATTTAGCAGCACAAGGCAATGTCCAAAATGGACAAAAATACACCTGCATATTAGCTAGAAAAATGGAGGTAAACACCAGGGGCCAATAACAGAAACAATTTAGAATTGATTCCACTGGGGAACAGGTCTGGGGAAGGAAAGGGTCTTACTCCTTTTCATTTATAAAGCCTTCTGTATTCCTTGGCTCTTTTTTTTTTTAAACTATGTGTAATTATTTTCATCAAAAATTTAAAGGTTTTTAAAACAGGGCTTCTTAAAACACATTTCACAAGATTACCAAGCACAGGCTGTCGGCCATAGGCTGTGGTTCGGATGAGCACCACACAAGGGTTTCACGGGTTATCTCACAGAATCCTCATTAAGCCCACAGAGAAAGGGAGGCTACCCAAGGTCTGGACTCAGGTCTGCCTGGCTGGCACCAGATTTTGTACATTGCCCCAGGTAAGGAGCCTTTGGAAAAATCTCTGCGACTCCAAAATAAGATGCATATCCAGATCACATATCAAAACCAAGCCACAATTTTTCAAATGAAGCAGGAAAAACATCACACAGAATGCAGAACTGAATGCCACTGCAGTATAATTACCCCAAAAGCAAAACGAAAGGTTACTACAATGGCCTAAATAATGTAATTCTAGATACGCCATTAAAACATATTCAAATAATACATTCAAAAAAAGAAACTGACTTACTCTAGAACAGTACTTTGGATTTTCATGTTAAAGAATTTGAGAAATCTCATCTGAAGCAGTTAACCAGCAACTATCTAAGATCCTCTGTTTTACTTTTCTTTTCAGTAAACTAGGACAGTCTGCAAATTGTGTCAGTGCATTAGGGTAACTAAAAATGAAACAAAGGCAAAATAGGTTTGATAATTTTGCAACTTGAAAGCAGCTGTAAGTATAAAATGACTTGGAAACACCACAGAATTAAACAAAATGAGATAAAGAAAAATTCTCTGTGGATTTTGTTCAAATTATTCTCAACATGTACTCTCCATGCACATTTCTCAGTTGGTGATCATACATTTCTTTTTTGGTTCTGCTAATTGGATGCTTTTGTTTCTGACAATCCTAAATTCCACTCAATATATTGCTTGGGATGGGAAAAGCTACCTTCATCAAGATAAAAAAACTTTTTTAAAAACCCAAGACCAACTTCTAGTAGGCCTAAGTGGTGGTTCAATTTTGCTGTTTCTTGCCCTCGTGTTCAGAAGTCCCTAAATAAAGGACTGTGGTGAAAATTCAAGGAGATAATGAAGGGAAAGTGCCGGCAGCTAACAGTGATTCGACCAAGATCACTTGAAATCAAGCCAACACAAAAGGAGAGGTTTACACACCCTGACCTCTTGAGCCGAAAGCTCAGAGCTAGAACTCTTCTAGTCCAGCTTCAAGGACAACAATGTTTTCATAAACTGACAAAGGGCAGGCGGTGGGTGAGTGAAGCAAGTCCCACAGGCTGGAGGGGTGTCGTCCGTACAAGGGCCCTGGAGCACCGGTCTGGGGTGACTGTGGATTAGACCTGTTTAGCTCTTCCCCACAACCACCACCAGTTACCAATGAGTTACCTCACCTAACAAAGCAGGAAGCACCGTAGGTAAGTCGGCTCAGGGACGCCTGACTCAACATACCCCACTGACCAAGGGTTCCACTTCCTCCTTGTGGGCTCCCTCCATCCTTTGTGTCTTAGAGCCCAAGACGGGGGTTGGAGAGTGGGGACCTCTGCTCAGTAAGCACCAACCACAGCAACACGTGAAAGCATTTCAACTGTTCTCTGGTGTTGGCAGGATGGCTGACTAGACCTTCTCACATTTAACTTTTAATATTTGCATTTCAAAAAGGAGAAAATTGCAGGTATAATTACAGGCACAAGTCAAGTCAGTCTTGTTGAATGCCTTGGTTCCTACTGGGATTTTCACTCTGTAATTACATTACTGAGCAAGTAGGCGGGAGGATCATTTAAAAGAGCCCAAATAACTAAACCCTCTAAGTTTACTGTGCCTCAATAAAACCCGAAAAGATGGATTCTGAAGGCGTCCCTGGAAATAGTACACGTGACACAATCCAGTAGCTAGGGCTCCAGAAAGTCCCCCCCGGGGCCCTCCACCGCTGCCCGGAGTCCGAGCACTCTAGGCACCTTCCACCCACCTCCCTGACAGCGCACGGGAAACCAAACTTCCCGGCGTCCTCGCCCAAACGTGGTTTTGCGGTCAGAGAGCTGGTATTCTCCGTCTGATTTCCTAAAAAGCGCGCAAAACGCCACCACACAAAAACCAGAACCAAGGCCCTAAACTGTACTGCCAGGTCTACGCTTTCCCCGGAGGAGGCTCGGTTCTGCGAACCACCGCGAGGGAAGCCCGAGCGCGGGTGCCGGACGTGCCCCCCACCGACCCCGCCTGCGGCCTCCGGGCCGCGAGCGCCGCACCGACGGTCCCGCTGGGCGGGCGGCACGGCGGCAGGCACAGCGCCCGGCCCGCGCGCGCCTGCGGTCGTGGGCCCGCCTCCGCCTCCGCCTCCGCCCGGGGTCTAAGGGCGCCTTTGGATTCCGAGGCCCGGGGCACCCATGGGCCGCTACCTGTCCGAGTGACCTTGGCCAAACACGCCTCCCCACGCGCTGAAGACCGGGGCTGCGGCAACGCTGCTCCGCGAGGCCCCCAGACCCCAGGCAGGGATCCCAGGAGGGGGAAGCGGCCCCAGGGCGGCACGCGGGGTCATGACCTTCACCCGGACGCAGCCCGGCGGGCTTCTGAAAACGTCCGGCTGCCCTCTGGGTCGGCCCCACCTCTTGGGCGACCTCCTCCCCGCACCGGCCCGCAGACCCTCCCCGGGCCGGGGCCGGGGGTACTCAGCGTCCGCTCCGCCCTGCGGGGACCGTCCTGCCCCCATCTCGGCCCCCGCGCCCTGCCCGCCCCGCGGCGCCGACTCACCGCCCTGGTCAGTGCCAGGCGCCGGGCGCCCAACAGCCGAGACACCACCCGGACCCTCGACATGTCTGTCCTCCAAGGCGCTGTCCCACCAGCCCCCGCGCCGGACTGCGCCGGCGCATCTAGCCGCGCCCGGGCCGGGACGCGGGGACACCGCGCCTGCGCACCAAGCCACGACCCCGAGTGGGTGGTGGAGCATTGCGCCTGCGCACAGGACCCGCGGACAGTGGCGCTGAGGGGTCCAGGGCCCGGCGCTCCCCGGCCGGGGGTAGGTCGGGGGCGGGGCCGAGTTCGGTCCCGGGCCAGGGCCTGGGCTGTGGCCAGGGCCCGTGCTGTGTTCCGGAGGGGCCGGGGGTAGGTCTGGGGCCTAGGGAGAAGTCGGGGGGAATGGGTGTAGGTTCGGGAGGGCCGCGGATGGGTCTGGGGTCAGAGCAGGTCGGGGCGCCGGGCCGTGTTCGGGGGCTCCGGGGGCTCCGGGGGTGGGTCTGGGGTCAGAGCAG